TATTGAAGAGAGAGAGAGAGAGAGAGAGAGAGAGAGAGATTAGAAAGAACGAAAGGGAGAAAAGGGCAAGAAAGAGGACTTTAATCGTGTTTACGCATGCTTGACCGAGCTACAGATTCTATGGAAGCAGCCACTTGAATTTATAGCGGTGTCCAGTCAGCTCATTGTTTGGCGATACAGAGCGAATGTAACACAGGTCGTTCTTGTGTTGGTGCTTGTTGTGTGTGGGGGACCCTCATCCCGTTACTCATTGTACCATTCTAACATTGCTGGAATATCTTAGTTCTGAGGGGTTTGCTGGCGTCTACGGGCAATGGCCTGAACTTTGACGCGTTGGATGAAAGAGATGACTAAGCAAAAATGACTAATTATTGTTACTTGTGGGTAATGTGCAAAGAAAAAATAGAGGAGAGATAATGACAAATGGGGATAAAAATCCGGCGGCTCGACGTAAGGTCGCCAATTATTAATTGTAGTGTGCGTACCTGTGTGTGTGTGTGTGTGTGTGTGTGTGTGTGTGTGTGTGTGTGTGTGAGTGTGTGTGTGTGTGTGTGTTTGTTTGTTTGTAAGTGTGTGTGTATATGAGTGTGTGTCCATTAATAGTGCTTGTGTCTGTGTGAGACGGAAGAGATGGAAAGTAAATCATTACCTGCAAAAGGCCCCTAAAAGCCACCTTATCCAGACCTTATCTCCAATACAGATCATTGGATCAGAGGCATTCTCTGGCATGCTTGCAAAGGATCACTGGAGGAAATGTATCCAGTATGGTACTATGGCAAGGCCCAATGAAATTATTATAAATTTTTTTAAAATGCAAAAAGTCTAAAAGCATACGGCAGACTAGCAAAGGCTGTTGAGTATAGAGACACTTTTGGTGTATCTTCTATTGTGAAGGGAATTCATGTCTTGAAGCCTTTGCACAAGAATGCTTATAGGTGACCCTTTTGCCCCCCCCCCCCCTTTCTTCTTTTTTTCTGCGACTGTTCAATGAGACATGTTTCCATTTTGTATACACTTGGCCACTATGATCTTTTTGCCCGTATAATCTTAAGATTTGAGTGTTCATGCTGTGTTGAAAACGCTTTCAGTGTGTGAGGCAAATGCTTTCTCAGTACGGATCAGCTGGGTTAAGTACAGACTGTTATTTACGAACCAAAAAAAAAAAAGATCGAATAATTCGCCCCGTATAACCTGCTATTGCTACATAAGGAGTGTCGTGCCCATTGTCTTCTTCTCAGTCTATAGAAGAGGTCCTTGAGTCATAGGCGAATCCGCTATGGGTGGATGGAAGAAAGGCTTGCTGTACTTCAGTAATGTTTTCGGCTTTGACCTCGGAGTAGAGTATCAGAGGCTCTAGTGCTAGTGCGGTAAAGAGCTAGCTAAATCAACGGCACCAATCTCCTGAGGTGATCCGCAATGTAAACTCTTACTTTGAGCGGGATTTAAACTCTGTGGGCGACATTCCGATTAGGGAACAAACATTATGACTAACTGCAGCTGGGTTTGTTTCCCTGTATATGCCGGTACTTCATTTCCCTTTAAAGGCTGTTTTATTTCACGGAGCGGTTCACAAATTTGAAGGTGCACACACACACACACACTCTCTCTCTCTCTCTCTC